GCCTGCAACGGCCAGGATGGCTTTCCTTCGAAAGTCACGATAGCCATCGAACTGCAAATCACAGAAGGCATCTTTGCTTGTCATGGTGGTGTGAGATGGAAGTGAAAGTTGCAAGTGTAGCGAACAAACGCAGTCGTGAGGGAAGTTGTATGGTCACGATAGACCACAGTGAAGTCACTGTCAACACTGCTTGCAATGCACCACGGCCAGATGGCCAATCAACACGCCCAGATCAACTCGACGCACGGATGCTACCGAGGTAGCTCCGCTACCATGCGGAACTGGTAGCAAAGCAGGGTGTCAACCAACAAAGGAAAATGCTCCTCAACCTCCAATCCAACAACCGACGAAAGGAATCCGCCGCACCGCTCAACGTTTCTCCTCCATGCGATATCCGAATGCCGTCATATGGCATCAAGGGCCCTGTGGTCCAAAGGATCGCGGATACAATCATCAAAGACATGTCATGAACATGCAAGGCATGACTGGTTTTCACACATACATACATACATACATACATACATACATACCATACCATACCATACCATACCATACCATACCATTACATTACATTACATTACATTACATACATACATACATACATACATACCATAACATAACATACCATACCATACCATGCATACATACCATACACACCATACATACCATACATACCATTACATTACATTACATTACATTACATTACATTACATTACATTACATACATACATACCATAACATAACATAACATAACATACCATACCATACATACATACATACCAACAATAACAACACCATACCATACCATACCATACCATACCATACAATAACATTACATTACATTACATACACACACACATACACACATACATACATACATACATACATACATTACATTACATTACATTACATTACATTACATTACATTACATTACATTACATTACATTACATACACACACACATACACACATACACACATACACACATACACACATACATACATACATACATTGCATTGCATTGCATTGCATTGCATTGCATTGCATTACATTACATTACATTACATTACATTACATCACATACATACATACATACTAACATAACATAACATAACATAGCATAGCATAGCATAACATAATAACATAACATAACATACATAACACTCATTCATTCATTCATTCATACATACATACATACATACGTACATACGTACATACGTACATACATTACTTACGCACATATATTGCATTACATTGCATTACATTACATTATATACTTACATGCATGCACACACACCCTCCAAAGACCCCCCGAAGATGACAACATACCTCCCTTCTAGATTTGTACATGCCCAGGAGGTGCCAAGTCAACACTATGTTTAAGTTTAGGAACTGCGACTGGTAGAGGACTGAGACTGCGCATATAGCCTGTGTGCTGGGTTGCATGTGCCATTGAAGGTTGAATGCCGTGTTTGTGGGTAACCGAGCTGCATGAAGCGACCCGCTGAACCCGCTTGGCGGAAGGATGAGTCGAGCTCGATGAGACTGGCTAGCGCTTCAGCTGCTTGAGTGCCTGAAAAACCTTTTCTTTCTTAACGGCCAGTACTCAATCATCTTCGCGTTCTGCCTCCCCCTGTAGTAATTACTTGAGGACCGACAACCTTCATGCCATTCACGTGCATGCAGGCTTCCTCGAAGGACAAAACACCATCTCGCTCACCGCGCTGGTGCCTCAAGGACTCTACGAAGGTCAAGTCCATGTTGGCCATACTAAAGGAGGATGCAGGTGGAGGTGACAAGCTAACACAGTTGTGAAAGACTGAACAAATGTGTTGACGACCACATATGCAGAGGAGAGTCTTGCAAATGAAAGTTGTATGAACATAAGCTGTTGCATTGCTTGCATTGCACAGCTTAAGAAAACACAAAAGAACTTTAAAAAAACAAAATCAAACTGAAAGACAATCAAAAAACAAAACGTGCTATTTAACAAAGTAACACAAATAAATAAATACTGTACATCAACAAAAATCAACAAATAACAACAATAAATATCCAGAGTTAGAGACTCCTGGTCAGAAGGTTGCATGACAGGAAGACTTGCGGAACATTGGTTTTTGTTTTCAGCAGGTTGCATGACAGAAAGACTTGCAGCAAGTGTTTTCTCGTTTGATGAAGAAAACCAAAGATTCTCCTCTAAGTTCTGTTTGTTTCGGTTTCTGGTTTTGGGTTTTGGTAATCTATAAGAAGAAAACCAATAGACGATGTATAGAGAAATTGATGACAAGTATGTATAAACACGTATGTAGTGTAATATACTTGAGTAGGTGTGCATAAACAACCAAAAAATGAACAGGACAAATAGAGATGTTATACCAGTACAAACAGTATGTTGGGGGGTCGTGGGGGGGTGACCATATATATATATATGTATAATATGTATACAGTCATCATCCCTATTTTGAGACACACCCACATTGGACCAGCGCATTCGTCAGTGTCTCAACACTCTAGCCTCAATCTCCATGTGGGACGCACGCCGAAGAGCCTCATCAAAGCACTTGTGCTGTCAGGCAGGACTAGAATGAGTGTCAATCAATGTTCGCAAATGTTAGCAAACCCTGGAGGTCGTGGAGGTCTTTATATATTATATAACTACTAGTAGTAAGGCCAGGAGCCCCTAGTAGCGTCCTTGCTCCTAGTAGCGATGTCAGGAGCCCTTGCTCCTAGTAGCGATGCCCTTTGCTCCTAGTAGCGATGCCCTTTGCTCCTAGTAGCTTCTTGTCATATTCTATAAATGCATATAAATGCTATCACTTGTTCATGGTTTGCTACTCGGCCTCTGCCACGGGCGTACCAACAGCGACTTTCTCATCGTTGGCAAAGAGGGCAACCTTCAGAAGTCAAACACTCAACATCTGATGCATGGAAGATTGAAGAGCTCATCTAGTCTGCAACTGGGAGATTGAATCTAACTTGAGGTGCCAGCAGTTACAGCACCAGTATTGGTGGCACCTGCCTGAGACAGTAACCAATCTCAAGCCAGTGCATCTTGGCCCTTGCAGATGTGGTCTCCGCATGTTTCTGCTCTCAAGAGTTTCAAAGCCAGCAATTGTTGGTGGAGTCCCAAATAGCTGAGCAGATTGAAATCGATTGGTGCAAGCTAGCCCCTAGCCTCTGCTCCAGTCTTTGGTTTCTTTTGCTTCTGTTGTATCTCCTGGCTGCCACTGGATTTTTGGCTAAACTGCTGATGCATCACGAATCAGCCTTCTTAGCCTTCTTCTTATCCTTGGCACCAATCGGTCTTGAATAGAGAAAGTGCAAGTCTAGTTGTGGAAGGATCGGCTTTAAACAACTGGCCACCAGGTCCCAGGCTGGGCCACTGAGTAGTCTGCTTGCTTGTTTGCTACAGCCTGGACCAACTCTCAAAACCATAGCTCATCCACTGGCTGTCACGTGCATCTCGAAAGACGCATCTCTGAAATGCTCCGCTGGACATGATTCCAGTCCACCATGTCCACCCACTCATGAAACAAAAGCGCTGAGATCTGACCAACCTCTAAGGCCACAACTGAGGCCAAGTCGTTGGAGGAAACGCTCCACGGGTTCCTGCGGATGAAGAAAAGCTCACGGACCTGTTCTGAGCTTGGTCTCTTGCTGTCCCCCCAAAACGACCTACTCTTCGGAGTAAACCGGCCGTTGCAAAAGGCCGAAAGCCTCGGCCTTACAAAAGAAACACTGCTTCCTTGGAGCCCACACTCAATTTTTCACAGGTTTCCCCAAGACTTCCAGAGTGAGGCCAGTCCACTGCCAGACCGTTTGACCCGCACCACACGAAAGGAGACGATGTCGGACGATCGTCCGCGCCGGGCCTCGCGAGATCTCAGCAGGTTCAGCTCGGCTCCGCGCCACTGCACCTGGCCAAGGGTTACCGAAGGACCGGGCCAAGCAGCCAAGAAGGCGAAGCTATTTGAATTACATGTGTGTTTTTGCCAACCTCCCCTAATAAATAGTGATGGCCTCCAACCGAATAGCGATGGCTTCCAACCTAATAGCAATGGCTTGCAACCTAGTAGCGATGGCCTCCAACCTAATAGCGATGGCTTCCAACCTAATAGCGACGGCCTCCAACCTAATAGCGATGGCCTCCAACCCAAATGGAGGAACAAATTCATGAGAATTCACATGGGAATTCCAAGTGTCTGCTTGGTTTGCCGGTGCCCAGAGGGCCTGAACTGTGATATTTGGCTCATTGTCCAAAAGCCGCACAGTTGCCTGAATCAAGTGCTTTGATTGCAACTTCAGCTCATAGGACTGTCATAGGATGCCATGGAGACATACATCATGTCAACAAAAATGTGGTTTGAAATCTGCAAAGACCCCAGGGTCACCCATATTCTCAAGCCTCGGAGGTTCACAATGTTCAGAGATGTTCTTTCGTTGTCAGAGTATCAAAAATGGAATGGACACCTTCTGCATCGGACTTGCCTCCATACGAGTTGGGCACAACCCAGAACCTTGGATCAAACCATCTCAGGCGATTCGGATGGGATAGAGTCTATAGAGGCGATAAGGATCCTGCAGCGGCTGCGCAAACCACCCAGTGGCCAAAGGATCACTTTGCAACGAGCCGTTGCATGGTTGATGATTTGATGGGTGCGTGACGGTGTATGCTTGACAACAGGGGTAGAAAATTCTACTGCTACATGCTGGTGATAATGCTAGCTGATTGAAATTGGTCAAAGACCATTATGGAGTTGATGCAATCGACCAGCTCTGTTTTGCTGTGAGTCATTTGATGTAAAGCACTGATCAACCTTTTCCATCTGAAGTCTGAATCTGAAAGCTGACCTGTTCCTCAGCTGTAACCATAGGGCGAGGATGCGAACCATCCAGAACAAGATGCGCACAACTCCCGGTTGCACCACGAACCCTGGCTCACGTCTTGAAAAGGCGAAACTCCATGAGAGGGCGCTATTCTGTGAGAAGCGTTACCATCCTTTTTAGTGACTTTGCTCCAAAGCTGGTGCTCGCTCAGTTCGCGAATTAGTGAAACCGACCGACAGAACCAACCGGTGCTCTGGTTGCCAAACAGCTCAGCAAATTACGCATGATTCTGCCAAACAAGAGTACGTGGAGCACACTTTGATCGTGCTCATCATGTTCGTTAAAGTACCAGCTGACCCGTTCGCTGACTTTGTTCTTTGAACAGCTCACCGTGCTGCGCCTCAGGTCTCAGGTGTCAACGACCCATCGATCGAACATGGACAATGCATTGCTGTTGAGCTCCCCGAACGCCATACAAAGACGATACGCCATGAACAAATGATTAGATGTTAGATGGTAGATGTCGTTGTGAGCCATGCAAGCACGCGACTATACTTGGCTTGATAAGACACAAAGGAGGGTTCCACCATATAGCAAAAGTGTGGCCAGAAGCGGCTGGGTGACATCTTCGCCAAGTGGCGCTTCGCGCGATGCTTCACACAGAGAGTCATCAGCCTCTGACACAGCGAGAGAAAAAAAACTATATATATATATGCATGCTGCATGCACATCACGATATCCTTCAAGTCTGCACTCTGGGAAAACTAGACTTGTCTGTAGAGTGTGTACCTTTTCATATCCAGTTCTTACAGCTGTAGTGGCAGGACGTAGACTAGTTTCAGTTTCAGGATGGGGTTTTCACACCCCGCCCCAAATTAGAAGGCCCGTCCTCAACGTCAAATGGCTGGGGAACGGTACAGGTACGGGAGCATTGATGGGTCAACCTCAGAAATCAAGCAAGATGTTACCGAACGAACCTTCCAATCCATTGACAGAGCTCGGAAGGCTCACAGAGCACTTGGCACCAACAGCCCGACTGTGCTGAACTCAGTTCTCTGCAGGCTTGAAAAGCCGAGTTTGTGTGTCCGAAGACGCAGTGATCACCGGCACAGGGCAGGGAGCTGGCGGGAAGAAAATAGATTCACAGCGGTAGGGTTATTGCAGTGAAACGAAAGGGTGCCTTTTGCGGCCTAAAACTTGAGCTCACTTAATTATGTCCACACGTTGGGACGTAGAAACTAAGAACCCCTGAAGGTTGCTAAAGCTGCCCGGTCAACCTTCAAGGCGCATGTGATCAACCTTGGTAAACCAATGATTCTGATGAGCAAGCTGTTGCATGAATCAGCTCTACCAGCCATGATCTGCTTTGCACCTTCCAAGGCTCTGACTAATTTGATTTCTGCTGCCGGTTCTCTCTGCACCTAAACATGGCTAACCTTGAGGATCGGCAAATCCGAGATCCGAGTTCCATCGGTGCCTTCTCGATGATCTTCTGGACAGAAGCCCCAGAATGGATCGCTCTAAACTTGGGGTTCTGCTCCAAGACCGCCTGGCCCATACCCGGCACCCGGCCAGCACTCATTAAGGACTCTGGGAGAGTCCTGGTGGCCTCAGCCATGTCTTTGACCTCTTGATCTACAACAGGTCGTTCATCTGGGTTGGTTGAGTGGTCCTCAGAGTGCCACTCTCGGTGGTTACAATACAGCAACCTATCCGACAGGGTTGCTGGTGCGACGTCCAAAGACTTTGAGACTCAACGTTTGCTGTCTGAGTGTCACGCTGTTAACATCTGTTAACTACCTCATTGTAGAGCTGGGACGCCGACCCAGTCTTTCTGCCCATTTTCTCGATCTTCTCTCCTACTGAGCAAAATGCTAATGACGGCATGAGTGAACCGAGCGGCCTGTTCTGTTGGTCCCCCGAATGCCTGGATCGTCTGCTGGATGCGACACTATACTCGCTCTTGAGGTCACCAAAGATGCTCTGACCGTCCACGCCCTCCTGCCGCAGTTTCTATGTTGCTACGCTATGCTACGCTTTTGAAGCTGCCGCTCCAATCCGAGGACCCCGTAGCAACTCGGAACTCAGTCCTCCAGCTTAGCACTGCCAGCTGCAGTGCTTGCCTGAGACTGGCTTCTCTGAGACTGGCTTCCAAATTCGAAGTTGGCCTCCCGCCTCATCCTCATCATCGTAGCTAACGTTGAAATTGGCCAGGAGCTCATCCTTAAACCTGGGAAGTAGCAACTTTGAGTCTTTGCCTCTCCAAGTAATCTTCGGATGCCAAGCCACGCGTCCTGTTCCTTCTTCAACTTCCCAGTGCGGTCTTTCAGAGCCTCATCTCATTGGGCATTTTTGCAGTCCGGTCCTACAGTCCAGTCTCCTCCTAGGGCTTCCACTCCCAACGCCTGCCGAAATTCCAAGTCTCCAACCTCAGAGGAACAAGAGACCCAACAAAACGAGTAGAAAATCAGCAAACATCCAAACACATGTGCCGTTCATCCTGCCTGTCTTGGAAATGACTGAAGCTCTTGGCCATCGGCATACTTGTCAAAATCAAGATGTTCAACAAAGTTGATGAGGTCGTCGGCCTCCTCCTCCTCAAAGTGATCCTTTTCCTCGCACACAAATGCTAAAGGCATCCAAATATCTTAACATATCTTGTCACATGTCCATGCTTTCACCAAGCCTGCTCTGTCATAGCCCAGAGAGGCTTGGACACCTAGTGTCAGGGAAAAGTGAACAGAAATACAAGAAACACTAGGGCCGACACCTCGGGAAAACACGAGAAAACACGAGAGTCTCAGGTCCTGGCCTTTGGAGCTGGTCTATCCACGGCGCTGATCGCCGCAGCATGTGCAATCTCAGAGAGCGGCACCCTGGCAGTCACTCAGGTGCAGTCGCACTGATGGTCCTCTCTGAACATAGGCGGTTCAACCATGCTGAAAGCCTGCAGCGATGCATTAACCAAGGACCCCACGAGTTCTCTGTTGCCTTTGCCTTCGCCTGTACCAAGCTGAACGCAAGGGTGCACGAGACCTGGTTGGCTTTACCTTTGTGCCTTTTGATCCTTTTCTCATGCTTGGTGCAGGAACAGATTATATACTTACAAGCGATCTTGAGGAGTCCCAGGCTTCACAACCACGGTGCTCCTCTGCGGCTTTTGCAGCTTTTTCAGCTTGGGCAGCGGCTGCCTCCTGTTAAGTGATCGTGATGTTTACTGCAACCCGTGTTTCGGGGGCTGACTGATTGCATCTGATTGCCAAGAGTTCTCTCTCTTTCTCTCTATCTATCTATCTATCTATCTATCTATCTCTATCTTTTCTTTACGTTCACTTCCAACGCACTCTGTGCTAGGTTCTCGTCCAGGCCAAACTTCTCAACACCAGGCGTGCCAGCAAAAGGCTATCTCTCTCTCTCTCTCTCTGGAGAAATACACAAACGTTCCTAGGAGGTAATTCAATCAAATTCAAAATGAGGGTGTCATATTTTCAGACTGGTTCTCCTCCTTTTGCTTATCATCTCTTTCCTTCATCATATCACGGACTGCTTTTCTATGCCTCGGGATGATAGCAGCAAAAATGAGCCTGGAGCCTCGCTTAGCCGCTTACCCCTCCATGATCTGCATATTGAGCACGACACTTGTCAAAAGCTGCTTTCATCTTCTGCCTCTTCTCTTCCTCATCCTGCCCTTCCTGTTCAGCCTGCCAGGTCCAGCGAAGGACCAAAAAAGTTTCAGCTGCCAGCGTCTGCAAACCCTCAGGACACTGATCAAAGAAGCATCTAGCACTGCATCCGTTGCACTTCCTCGCATAAACATCAGAAGACTTCCGACCGAAACTGTGGAGGAGAGACTTCCTTCGCATTGCAAAACGGAACGTCGCTGCCTGATCGCGATCTTCTCGCATCTGCTGTTGAAGTTCTCGGAGCCATCGCCTTGTTTGTTTTGCAGCAACGACAATCACAAGAAAAAAACACGACAATATGACCGCCAACACGTGTCTTTTGGAAAGATAACACTCCCAAAGTCAAGAAACAAAAAAAAGATCAAAGGGTTCAAGGGAATGTCGGATCCTAATGAGTCAAGTGGGAGGGAATAATAAAAGTGTTCGCCAAATTATTCCAACACCCTGAATAGTTTAGTGGGAGGGGAAAATGTGTTTTCATTCAGGTTTTTTTGGGGGGGTTGTTTGTTTTTCTATTGTTCTGCTACTGCTCCCTTACTTGACTCTCCTGAGGTTTGCTTGATTCATGGAATTCTGACCTGGAAATCGGTTTCAAAACGCTCATTAAAACTCAACGAGTTCATTGCTCCAAACAGGTTTTTCAAGGGGTACTACACCGGCCCAGAGTGAGAGTGAGAGTGAGTGTCAGTGTGTCAGTGCGAGTGTGAGTGAGTGTGAGTGAGCGTGAGTGTGAATGTGAATGTGAATGTGGGTGTGAGTGAGAGTGAGGGTGGATGAGAGTGAGTGTGAGCGAAGAGTGAGGGAGAGAGTGAGAGAGTGAGCATCTGAGAGCAAATCTGCACTTCCACGTTCACAAAGTACTGCGCCTGCCGAAATCTGCACTTCGAGGTTCACCAAGTGCTGCGCCTGCCCCGAAATCTGCACTTCGAGGTTCACCTAGCGCTGTGCCTGCCACGAAATCAGCACTTTGAGGTGCACAAAGTGCTGTGCCTGCCACGACATCTGCACCTCGACGTTCACCAAGCGCTGCGCCTGCCACGAAATCTGCACTTCAAGGTTCGCAAAGTGCTGTGCCTGCCACGCAGTCTGCACTTCGAGGTTGACAAAGTGCTGCGCCTGCCACGAAATTTGCACTTTGAGGTTCACAAAGTGCTGTACCGGCCACGAACTCAGCACTTCGAGGTTAACAAAGCGCTGCACCTGCCTCGAAATCTGCACATCGAGGGACACAGAGTGCTGTGCCTGCCATGAAATTTGCACTTCGAGGTTCACAAAGTGCTGTACCTGCCACGAAATCAGCACTTCGAGGTTCACAAAGTGCTGCACCTGCCTCGAAATCTGCACATCGAGGGACACAGAGCGCTGTGCCTGCCACGACATCTGCAAATGAGCCACATGTCCAAAAGTCACGATTCACTGCACCTGTCACGAAATCTGAGCCCCTCGACGATCACCATCATGTCGAAAGTGCTGCACCTGCCACGAAAACTGCAGTTCGAATTAAAATTGCTCCGATCCCTTGCACCTGTCACGAAAAGTCGACTTTGAGGCGCCAAAACACAAGGTTTCCCTTGCGCCTGCCACGAAAAGTGACCACCATGTGCGAAAACGCGCACGGCACCACAACGAGAGCGCAGTCGTTAGAAGCACCCGCCGCAGACACCCAGATTCAGCGAGCCTGCGCAGTCGAAATGCACTTCGACGATTTCGAGAGGTATGAATGTACTGTGAATAGCAGCTGAGTAGCCGTCCACGGCCGCGCGCTTCAGCGATCTAAGCATCAGCTGCTTTTCTACTACCGCAAGAACCCCTTAGTGCGTCCACACTGTTTGGGGAACTAACTTTACTATTGTTCTGCTATTGCTGCCCTTTCAAGTCCGACTTCTACTACTACGACTACTAGTACTACTAGTACTACTACTACTGCTACCTTGAGTCTCCAATGACCCTTTTAATTTTGCCCTTCCAAGAAAAAGATGTTTTTGAAAGAAAGCACTCTTTTTTGCATATGTCACGAAATGTTCCTTTTTTGTTTGTGCCCTGTCAGATCCTCCTTAGACAGTGTCCTGAGACCTTTTTTCGGCGTCCAAAACGCGTCTTTTTGTGTCCAAAAGGCGTCTTTAAGCGTCCGCATGAAGATTCACATTGTACCTTTTCTTGAGCCCTCATCTCTGAAAACGCATTTTTCGGGCAAAAACGCAAAAATATTAGACCCAAAACAAACATGCAGAAAAAACAGGTCTTTGGAGACTCAAGGTAGTACTGCTACTGCTACTGCTGCTGCTGCTGCTCCTACTACTGCAACGACCACGACCACGACGACGACGACGACGACGACTACTACTACTACTACTACTACTCCTCCTAACTGCTACTGCTACTGAAATGAATACTACTAATGGTTTTTGCGGCGGGGATTCTATTCATACTCCCTTGATTGTTTGCTAGGAGGGGGACGGGGTTGACTATTTAAGACCCAACATGAGGCAGGAAAAATGGCCTCCTTTATCCTTCTGCCTTGCCTTGTGGTCTCAGGTTCCATTTGTATTTGCAAGGTCTGCTTTAGACCGTTCCAAGGCATGGACTGATATGCTGAAACCTTGGAGATCTTCGCGTGACCAAAGGCTGTGGCCAAGTCTCCAACCCAAAATAGCAAACTGCCTGCCCAAAAATCCGGACAAACTATATATTGGACAGCCTTCAGGCATGACAGGCATGCTCAGAGCTAATGTCCGTTATTTATATAAGGGAAAACGTTTTTGATTTCTCCACAGAAAAATATTTTGTCAATTCGGTTGTCACGGTTTGTTTGGCTTTTGGAGTCATTCTAGCCAGACCTCTCCCCCACAGGCTCGCAGGTATCAAAGCATCGTCCCTGAAGAGCTCCATGTTCAAATGCACATGCATCCCTTATCATCCCTTGCCTGTATGCGCCAGCATGTATCTTCCGTTCCCCACTCATGGTTAGCATGCACATAAACAGCAAAAACAATAGTATCCTCTAAATTAGTACAGTAAAGAGTTTGGTCCCCGTGACAATTGTTGCTCCTGGCCTTCCTGATAGAAATTGGAAGGAACAGAACGCCTGTGGATATGTCTTCAATGCAGAATTCTAATCGAGCTCCAATTGGACGAGGCTTTAAATGCACTCGGTCTCAGTTGCACAGACTCAATGTTACAATCTAGATCTGACTCACGGACGCCAGCAAATTGTTTGATGTACCAACCTGTCACCTGTCTATCTACCTACCTTTCCGTTCATGCTTGCTCTCCCTGTTGCTCCGTCTCTCTCCTGCTGTATATTTGCATCTTTCTTCACTGGGTGTTTAAGATCATTTGACTCTGGTGTTTCCACCTGCGTGTGCCTGCCTGTCAAATTGGGTGTTCAACTCTCCATCTGTAGTTCTAGTCTACAGTCACCTGTCCATCTAACCTACCCTAATGCCCTTCCAGAAAATCAAAGGAATGAAAAGGCTGAATAGTAATGCAGGCACTACATCTAATCCGAGCTTACACGGCTCTTAAGTTTCAGAGGGAAAAATGATGAACAATGGTGGAAGTTGACAGCTGGATGCCGCAACGTTGTGCTTTCCGCCTAGAGCCTCTGGCCCACTAGCCAAGCAACAGAAACGCAACCGTCGCAAACATCTTGCGACTTGATACGAAACGATCGCACCAAAAGGCTTTCCATGACATCTCTTTCAGGTTCTCCAAGGCCATGTTTGAGGCAAGCACACATGTCTTCGAAGAGCAGCGCTAGGACCCCTCTTCTTGACTGTCGGCTCAAAGTTCCTCGCAGTCGGATGCCCAAATGCAACAAGATGTCATTCCCTGTGAGGTTACACCAGTTCATGGTTCTTCAATTTCACCATGCTGCAAGTATTGTTTTCAAATTTTTGGTCAAATATATTCTGAATTTGGACCCAGATGAATGCAGCACGGGCAAAAAACAATGAGCGTAACAATATATATATATATATATGTCTAGCCCTGTATGGGTGCTGGAATCGGGGACCTATGGGACCGTGAAATATGCAAAATGGCATCCTCATCTGCAATGAATGCAATGTCCAAACCAAGTGCTCAAGCAAGCCTCAAAAACAGTTTTAGACTAAATTTAAAATTATACCGGCATAGACCCCAGATAGCACTTCAAGAAAAGGATAGCATGGCAAGAGCGGGAGACAAGCTTGGGAGACATCCCACTCAAAGCCGGGAAAAAGATGGAAAAGGTAAACAAGACCTAAATCATCTTATAACAGCATCCGCGTCAAAGGCATGCAAGAAAATGACAAGGCGGCAGCGGCAGCCAAGAGCGAAATCATGAAGGGAGACAAGCTTGGGAACCACGGCGGCAGCGGCAGCCAAGAGCGAAATCATGAAGGGAGACAGGCTTGGGAGACCAGGCAGCAGCGGCAGCCAAGAGCGAAGTCATGAAGGGAGACAAGCTTGGGAGACAAGACGGCAGCGGCAGCCAAGAGCGAAATCATGAAGGGAGACAAGCTTGGGAGACAAGGCGGCAGAGGCAGCCAAGAGCGAAATCATCAAGGGAGACAAGCTTCACAGACAAGGCAGCAGCGGCAGCCAAGAGCGAAATCATGACGGGAGACAAGCTTGGGAAACAAGGCGGCAGCGGCAGCGGCAGCCAATTTCCGCAATCAGGAACCCATCCATTGAGAAGTAAGAACCCCTATAGCTTCGCTATCTGGGGAAAAAGAAAAGTGTTTTCCATCTAATTAAGTCCATACGGATATGAACATGCAGCATACTTTCCAAACTATTTGTATTTGATTTTATAGTTTTCGTTTGGTTTTATGGGTTTCCTGGGCTATCATACTGCATACTAATATTACTAATGTAAAAGGACATATAATGTATATACACAAGTTGCGCGTGTATCTGTTCAACAACGGTTCTCCTTGTCCATTGAAACTATGCCTGGAGAATCCAAGAAGTAGCACCCAAAAAAAGTTCCATGTCTACGATCATGTGCACCCCTCAAACTCTCAAAGCATCTGCATTGGAATTATATAAATCTATATAGCAGCACGTCAGGGAATCCAAAAAAAAATGTTACTTAAGAAGCAGGCTCCGTGCATCCCACTGGCATCCGAAAATTGAAATTTGATCTGAACACATCTCAAAAGGGCACCCGCTTGGCAATGATAATGTTCAGGACATGTGTTTGCATGTGTACGCTTGCGTTGTCGTGTTGGTGAGAAGGGCCTTCTCGCGTATGCAAACATGCAAAAAAATAAACACAGTTGCCCCAACATGTGATTTGAACTGTAGAGCCCTTGTTTTTGCACGTGGATTAGATGTCTGTTTTGAGGCACGCTCTTCTGTCTAAGATGTCTTCTGATACGCATTAAACACCTCTGCAGAAGGACCCACTCACCAGATATGTTGTTTGTACCAAAAACAACTCTACTCCTCTAACCCATCCTGTTATGTTACACTTTGATGCAAGTAGTTGCCAACAGCGCTGCCTGTCGCCTGGTGGAAACTGAGGTGTACTGGGTGATGAGATGACTTGCCACGGAGTGCATGGGGTGGGGTGGGGATGTGGTGGGGTGGGGGCTAATAACGTCCATGCGGGCTGGCGCACGCTTGGGACGCTACGTTGATGACGCCACGTGGATGATGCCACGGAGATAAGTTGCCACGGAGTGCATTGGGTGGGGTGGGGGCTAATAACGTCCATGTGGGCTGGCGCACGCTTGGGACGCTACGTTGATGATGCCACGTGGATGATGCCACGGAGATAAGTTGCCACGGAGTGCATGGGGTGGGGTGGGGATGGGGTGGGGCGGGGGCTAATAACGTCCATGCGGGCTGGCGCACACTTTGGACGCTACGTTGATGATGCCACGTGGATGATGCAAGGGATGTAAGGCCCCAGCCCCCTAGGTCCTAGGTGTTTAGTAGATCTTTAGTAGATCAGGTCTTCAACCAATTATGCTCTTGTGTTTGTTCGCTGCTCAGTGGGGTTGCTTGGGTGACTTTGATATAAGTGAGAGAGGTGTTTTTTAAAGAGAGTTGAATGAAAATGCGAATGAACTGTGCGCTTGGCAGAGACATATTTGTGTCCAGCTGCTACAAGTGCTTTTAGCTGACCGAGCCACATGATCTTGCATGCTCAATTCAACAAAGTTGCATGATCTTGCATGAAGCATGCGCAGATTTTCACGTCCACTTCACTTTACTTTACTTTGCCGCTTTCCTACTGTGGCCCGCCATGGATGTGATTCGTTGGCAGGTTTCCGAGTGCTTGGTTTACATATTACTTCTCAGGATGGTGGGATGCAGCTTTTTTCATCGCCATGAGATCCTAGCTCCTTTTTTTTCACTGTCAGAAGTGAGTTTTTAGATGATGCGATGATAGTCCTGTTGGATCTAGGCACACCCATTTGGGTGGTTGAAACTGTGCTGAATGATGTGAGACATGGTTTGGGTTTCCGACAGCTTCCTTGGCAGCGACGGCGTGCCCTGCCGCCGCATGTCCACGCAGCGGCTTCAGTGTTTCAGCGTCGGTTCTGTTTGGGACAAAATCGAAGCATTCCGACGTCAGAAATCTATGATCGCTTCCAATCCATTCCTGGTCTTTCTCAGTGGTCTGAGGAGGAGGTGGACAGAACATTGGCGGACGAGCAAGCTATGGAGATGGAACGGCTGCCTGTTGGATCTGCCTCTGTGAGCATGGCGCAGGACTCACAAAGTCCTGACGTGAAGTCTCCTCCATCTCCCGTCAGTGTTTCAGCCACTACCGAGCGCAGGTTTTTTGAAATGAGCGCTTTGGACGGTCAGCATGGCGGCATCAGTCCGATACATGGTGCGGAGTCACCGCCGCATCTGCGTTACAAAAAGTGGTATTTCAGAGAAACCTATGTGGATCCGGCTATTGAGGTACCTGAGATTCCCACAAGTCCGCAGTCCGAGGTGGAAGTCATGTCAGACAGTGCTGCGAACGTGCCTGCAAGAGTTTCCGCGTCCATGTCATCGAGAGCGGAGCTGTTTCAGGACTGACATTTTTTTTTGGTTTGGGGTTTCTTTTGCGCGATTTCACACTAAACATCGCCAGCACTACTCGTCTTGCGTTGTATGGACAGCTTTGGACATGGACAGCTTTGGACATAGCCTGCGGATGCCTGCGGTTGCTTTGCAAGTTTGGCACTGTTAAGTGCTCTCTTTTTTTTCTGCAGGCCCACTTTCAGCACCGTCGCAACTACATCGATGACCTCACTTCCCAGTCAGTACCGGTCTGGCACGCCGGTCAAGAAAGGTTCAAGTGGGGTGGCTGCCGCGACCATCCAATTAGGTCCTTACAGCCCCATCTCAATCGTGGTGGAAAGGTCAACGGTGGCCATTTGCGGTTGAGGTGCAGTGCTTGGTTTGGTAGCACTGCTGGAAACAAGTGCTGGTACTCACATGCTTTTCCCATGGCTTTGTTTTCTCGTCTACCTGCTCCGATGCGGTAGGAGTATAATTCATTAGAGCAGGCTTTGCGCCGAGGCTCCGTAAACTGAAGCACATCCCCTGCAGCCCGAAAAAAGTTATGTCTGCGCATTGCGCTCTTGTCGATGATGGTTGATTCTACAATGATTGCGACTTGTACACACTTATGTATATAACACTTCGTGTGTGAAATATAAGATTTCGGACAAGTCTTTGAAGCTGTCCGGAGGACTCCCAACATGTCAATCGAGACCATACGAGCATGTTCTGATTGCTTCGCTGCCCTTTTTGGTTCGGAGTTACCGAACTCTCCCCTTCCATGAAGCGTCCTGCTGCGCGCAGCCGCAGAGGACAAGTGCATCGCTGCAGTTGTTATGGCTCCACGACCCATCGACTGGAAAGCTGTAAGAAGCCTGGCGCAAAGAAAATCAAAGCCCTGCAGCAGCAAGTGAAGAAACTAGTGAGTGTCAGCAGCCGTTGCGAACCCAAGCATTCAGAGACTCGGACTCATGCAAAGTTGAGCGACAGGAAAGAAGCTCACCGATCGTACGTTGGGAAAGACAGCGAAGAAGTGGCAGCACACGAGGCGCACAGTTGATCGGAGCTTGCCCTGGGAGGAAAGCCGTTCGGATTCTGAGGCCGCAGCATGGCTACTGAGCCACGGATTCGTTTCAACGCCAAAGACCTGCTCAGCGTGCGGAGATAGGTCTGTGGAAGGACCTTTGGAAGCTGCACGCAGCGACCGCAGGAGCTACTGGCATTGGAGATGTTCGCACTGGAATTGTCAGAAACGTTGTCCTTTCCTTGCATTTTCCTTCTTTGTGGGCTTGCAAGTCCTGCCCTCTGAACTGCTGGCTTTGCTCATCATCTACTCGACGCATTCTTTGATGAAGGTGATGACCATTGAGGACTGGGGTTGGAGGGGTCAGGTTTGGATTTTCTTAGAAGTTGTTGCTTTCCCGCGCAGGACTTGGTGCAACGTAGCCATCATGGCTACTCCATCTGCCGTCATTTCTTGGACGTCCTGGCAGAACGTGAGGCTCATGCGGGTAAAGCATTCTGTCGGTCGGCGGTCCTATCTGGCGCCGTCGAGCGCGATGCCACTAGCATCGGACAGTTCTTCGTGTCCAAGGACAACGCAGAGTATGCTGACATGATTCTTGCCTTGCAACAGAAAGCTGGTGTGGTGCACCCGGCATATCCTTGCCATGTTCGTGTCATCGGCTTACGCCAAAGAAATGGTGATGTAGTCATCTCTGTGCTTCGACCCCATGTTCCTTGACAACCAGAATGGTCGACCAAAATGAAGACTTCAAATTCTTTATAATCTTTTTGCTACTGAAATAGTCAAAGAAATAGCATCGGAGAGAAAAACACGCTGCTGTGTTGCAACCGTGGTCTCAGGTCACACAACCTCGTGCAAGACCTCCGGTGGAAAGCTGGAAGGACATTCAGAATTCCGCATTGCTGGAAAGAATACATCCCAGAAGAAAGACAGCCCTCTATGCAGATGGAGCCAAAGCATGGCAGACTGCTGCTGATAGCCTGAAAGTCAAATGTTTTCAGGTGTCTCACCAAATGCGGCAGTATTGTAAAGATATTTCTGCTCCGAACCTTGGATGTCTCTCGAAGAAAGCTGGAACACAGTGCTTGGATGCTGATTGGAAAAGCTTGAAAACATGGTTGCCAAAGCAAACAAAACGGAAACAGAAACGTAAAGGTCAGAGCAAAGTGAATCCACGACTGGTCAGCCGATGCTACCAGTGGGCATGGAGGAGAAGCATCCACGCGGCGAAGCCGCATGTGATGCTGCAAGAGTTGGGCGACCACTTCAAGAGGTCCGAATGAGGAGAAAAAAGTAGTTTCTGACATTGCACTTTTCCGCCCCTTTTCGTCGTGCACGCACTTCTATTGGGATACATCACGCAACCACCAATAATACCCAGGCGACCAACAGCGTAGTTCCCAAGTAGTTTCACTTCAAGGCATCCTCCAGCACATGTTTCCACACAAAGATATCATAGATTCTATAGTTTTTTTGATATATATATATATAATCAGCTACAGTAAAACAATAATAGCTCGCAGGTCGCAAGTCGAACTTCGCAAACTCAAAATTGAAACAAGGCCAGGCCGCTGAATGTTGGAAACTATTCTGACACCGTATGGACCCGGGGATCCACTCGAAGAGCTGCGTGTCAAGAACCTTTTGGAACCCTTCGGGGCGTCCCCAATTGAAAAAAAATGTTCGGCTTTTGGGCCCTGGAAGTGCCAAACAATACTTTCAATATCTTGGCGAAGGTCGCCCATCACAAGAGCTTGTGGACCCTACTAGACGCCAAAAAAAGTGTCTTCAAGGGCCCAGTGAAGTTGGAAAGTCATGAGTGATGGAAGGAGCTATCAGAACTGCTGGCTTCCTCGCGCTTGACCAGGATTTTTTGCTTTTTGGCACTGGAATTGCGCCAAAATGTATTCTAAATCTCCGAGCAAAAAACTCGTCATGAACGAAGGGCTCCGGTGGAAAAATCGTGAGTGAAGGACCATGACCAGTGAAAGGACCGTTGGCCTTTGGAACTCTTGGGGGACCCTAGCGTGCGAAAAGGTTTTTTGGCTTTGGAGTCTGGAAGCGCCAAAACTGGTTTCTAACTCTCGGTGCAAACAGCTGGGCTCTTCAAAGGCTCTGTATCATGAGTGCGGGGCCAGTGGAAGGACCTTTTGGAACTTGAGGGGCTCCTCGCCATTGAAAAAGGTTGTTTGGCAGTTCCGCCCTGAGGTGCCAGCAGAGCAATGGCAGCAAACAGGCACCAGCCCTACTTTGGCGCACCTACATCTACCTTCCCTCTATCCTGAAAATGCCCTTCGGAATGATCTGTTCCTCGTACTTGATAGTGCATCGGTTCACGCCTCCTATCCCCAACCCCACCTTCTGCCTTGAAAGCTGCTTTAATATCTGGCAGCCCCAAGTGCCAAAAAGCGTTTTCAGTGCTTAATTTCATTTCATTTCACTTCGGGACACCCAGCTCCGCCTCCACGTGCTCAAGCGAGCTTGGACATGGCCACTTCACACTATCTAGAATTCCTTTTGCACAAGAGTTATGATCGTCGTTCCTCGCTCTAGCGCTCAAAGCTGTTTGGGATGTTCGGCTGCCTGTGGCCGAAAGCGTTTTGGGAAGGTTTGGCAGCCAATTGACAGAAATGTGCTTCTGGCAACATGAGCAACCGGAAAGGAATAGTATTTGTGCTTTGGATGCTAAAGTCTTAAAGAGTGTTTGATGCAAAGGGGAATGTTTCCCTTTCAATTGTTTTATCGAAAAGTTAGGTCGTTCTGCTGACGTCGTTGACGTCGTTATAGCTTTGCCAGATTTCATTGTATAGGTTTTACATACATACATGCCAGTGTCTCAAGAGGATGCCTTCAATTTTGGGGTCAACCGAGTAACACACCCTAGTATATATATAATGGTAAAGATTGGTAAAGTATAAAAAAACTGCTCTTTCAGGACCCTGAGGTGTTCACCCGCCTCACTGGTGTAAGGCCCAGGTCTGAGGTATAGGCCACTGCAGACCTGCTCAATTGCGGAGTTGAAGGGCGAACGAAAAATCCCGGTTGAGGGTCTGATTTCCCTCTTCCCCAGGATATGGACCACAAGGATTACTCTTTGGAAGATGACGTGGCTTAGCAGTTCTGAGCCGCTTGAGTAGGACTGAGTAGGATGATGCAAAGTCTCCAAAGCGGACACCGACCTGAACGGTTGCTTTGCTTCGCTGACGACTTTGGAGTCGTCACTGGGCCTATTGCCTCATGACACACTGCGAAGCATCATCAGTCTCCAAGCATCAATGTGGAGAAACAGCTCTGTTTCCCCTTACAATACATAATTGACATTGGAAAAGAAGAAGCTTATAGAAGTTGTTGCCAAAAACGAGGGAGATGAGATGACGTAGATATATAGTTGTATATATATATATATATAGTCGTTGGGATTAGTTGGGCTGACCATGGCTGACCTAACATAGGGATATCCAGTAGTGTATCCTCCCGTCCCTAATCAAATCAGGTCCTCTCCAAGGTGCAGAGCATTACTCCTTTGAAGTTGCCCAAGCCAGATGGTGGCGGTGGGGCATCCGTTGAGCCACCTGCTCCCATGCGGCAGAGCGTGAGTTGACTGGTCAATTCCCCCAATCACCGGTTTCAGGGCCCACTTTATCGAATAATCCACTCAGGAAAAAAGGAGAGGGAGATGAAAATAATTCCAATTTGATTCAACCGAATTCAAAAGAGACATGCCTTTGTTCGAGGCTTCCTACCAAGTGGCCTTCATGCTCTATGGCGCCGGACTTGCGCCAACTGAACCGTTGAAGCCCCACTCCACCTACCCCTTCAGAGGTGGGGACATGGTTCCCACACCATGTTTCCCAAATCTCTCCCACACCATGTTCCTAGTAGCTTCCAGTAAGGCCAGGAGCCCCGAGTAGCATCCTTGCCCCAAATTTGGCTCTTCTGCTGTTGGAGTTCGGTTTCCCCCATCACCTCCCAGCCTTCGCCCGGCATCACGGCCTTCCTCACCTGGACATCCGAGTGACCCATGGTCGTCCAAGCGGGGTTCTGGCAACTAAAACCAAACCCATCCAGCGCTCCAAAACCTTTGTACCTGCATGAATTGCAGAATGTAGTACCTATATATATATATATATATCTGGCTCAACGCCATTGTTTCTGCAAGGCTAAACATGGCCTCCACCCTAGTAGCGATGGTTCATTCTTTTGTTATAGAAATCCAGCTCCACCAACCCAGCCCAACTTCAAGCTCTCACACCTCGCGATTTCCAGCGAGGAGTTCGGGGGTCGTTCGACTACTGACTACTGCTGGGCCACGATTTCACGGCACGGCACTGTACAAGCATCTGCACTCCCTCACTGAATGCGGACACCCTTTCTTCCAATACCCAAATGACTGGAAAACAGCACAAATAGACTACAGCAGAACGTTAGAATGCCGGCTCGCGCTTCTATAAAGCTTCCTTTTTCGCTCGTCGAGTGAGACAGAGGCAAAATTATTGGAGCGGCGATGGTTGGAATGTTTTGGAATGCCTCTGTTTGCCTCAGGCGGGGCCTCAAGCGCCAAGTGCCTGCAGGCTACAACCTCCTTGCATCCTTTACCGGCGGGTAAGCCGCCCAAAAAGCCAGCAGTAATCCAAATATATAATCCAATGGATAATTGACTATCTCCTTGGATAGAATTAGCGGAGGAGCATAGCTACAGACTTCGAAAGGGAACTGCAAGCCAGCTGGCATCGATCCACATGTCAGCTCCTGAAAAAGTCCTACGTTGCACCCAGGGATCCTATTCTACAGTTCCTCTCATTGAGTTGACAAGTTTGGCAATGCACGATTTTGAAGACCCTGAGTGTGACGCAGGAGCTACCTACTAAGCCGCCTCTACGATCTAGTTATCTCTTGCTCTCTACAGGGCAGCCTCGTCAAAATGCAATGTGCTGCCATTCTCGGTTTAAATGCGCTCACCGCGCGAGTATGCAGCCCCATAATTGAAGGCCTGCTGGTTCTGGTACCTCAAAAGTAGCAGGCTTTGTGAGGGCACTGATTAAAACCTGTTTCACCGGTTTGTCAGTGCTTGATGCGGCCGGAATTGACCCGACCCTAAGCCCCTTGCCCACCGGCTTGTTGTTGGGCAGCCTAGAGGTTGATGCAAAAAAAAAATGTGCCGCAACATTTGGATTGAAGAGCTTGCCATCACCTTCATCCGCAATTCTAGGGTCACTGCGTATGCATTTTGGCCACGCTGCTGTTCATTCATGTACCTCCAGTGTCACGACGTCCAGTCCGTCCTTTTCGGGGAAGCATTTCAAACCATTTCCGCGCACTGCGCGTAGTAAGCTCGCCAGTCAGAGTCCTGCCACACTCAGTGGATCGGCTGGAAGACGTGAGAGGACATCCGCTCTGAACAAAACTGGACTTCTGACAGAGTGCCAGAATGAAACACCGGGTTTTCCCAAAGAATCCATCATGAAAAGTTGTTACTTATGTGGACTCTACGTCTACCTCCAGAATTCAAGGCGCTCGTCAAACATTACATTACCTTGTCCTGACCTTATCCTGATCTGTGGATCTATCATGAAATTTCCTCTCCACTCAGCTTAAGTAGGACAAAACGGGTCACATTGATGACGACAGGTAAAGCTCTATAGCTCTTCAAAACCATCCTGTCCTGGCCGGATGCCATGCCCTGCATTTGGAGATTTCGTTGAGCCATCTGCCAGCCCTCCCAGTCAAACATCAGTGAGACTCACGTTTGAAGTGGAATTCGGCACACGCAGCATGTTATGCAGAAAAGCACTTCGCACCTGTTGTGCCTGGTAAGCCATTGCCTGTTTCACTCAAAAGCGCACAATGGCTATGCTATGCTATGTGTCTACATACAGTACAGAGCATGGACAATACTGCCAAGCATTCCTGGCTTGGGTCTGCGCACACATAGGTTCCATGTTCTCTCTGTGCAAGCTCAACAGCAGCCTGCATCCACTGCTGCTGGGAATTGCCCCACTGCATAGCCGCTGCCTGCCTGAAGAAACTGTGTCATGGTCCGAAATGAAATGTGCTGAAGCTGAACGCATCAAACCGCGGGAAGCTAAACCGAACGTCTTGGGATGAAGCTGCTGCGGCTGTTGCTGTAGCTGTGCATACCTCAACAGCAAGTGACTTGCAGCCGGAAGTTGCCGCTACTAGGGGCTCCTGGCATCGCTACTAGGAGCAAGGACGCTACTAGGAGCTCCTGGCCTTACTACTAGGAACAAGAAGCTACTAGGAACGAATCGTTCTCAGCTCCTTGCGCGTCTGTGCTGGCTCCCATGCCCCTAACTCCGCCAGCCTGATCAAACGTCAGGTACTGTTCTCCACTAAAAAGGATACCTGGAAGTCCGACTATGTTCCTCTATAAACTGAGCACTGTCACCATTTTCGATATATATATATATAATTACCTGACTGGCCAAAGTCGATTTGATGTTTTCAACTTGGCCTGCGGGACGACACCACCAGCTTGTTGTTGCATCCATTGTTGACTCATCCACTTTTGCTGCTGCTCGGCCTCAGTTCCCCAAAGAACTACCTCCGTGGAAGATGCTGTGGGAGATCCTTTGTATTACACTGGCCAGACAAAAGCTGCGCTTCTTGAAATTCAAACTCGTTGCAGCCCTTCCCCCTATAACCCTACACGGTGTGGGCGATCATTTTTCACACCGGGAAGCCTTTTATGTTATTCATAGATTTAGAACGGTGTGATGATTGACCACCCCACACCTGCCACGAAATTGAACTTGTTAAATCGATCCGCAGCTGACCCAACAGTCACGGTCAACAAGCAAAAACTTGTGTCTGCATGAAATGTTCGTTCCAAAGGAATGATCAATTGCTCATGATTAAAAATTCATCGTTCGCCAAAGAGACATGGGGATTTTGGGTGAGCAACAAGGAAGCCTTGTGAGTCGTGAGTGTGCCCATGCCATCCCGCGTACATTCCCAATTGATCTGGTATATGTGAGTCATGTCTTGTGCACAAACCCTGGACGCGCCTCACCTAAACCGGACATTTGGACATTCCCTCATAGCATTCAGTCCTGCCTCCTGTTGCCGTCGCTTCTGCCTGGCTGCTATCGTACTGCCGCAAAGCAAAACGTTGGGTGTCCTTCTCATCAAAATATTGATTGCAACACGTCCAATGCTATGTGCAGGATTCCAGCACTCGGAACGGCAAACACGATAGAGTCCACTCTTGCTCTTCTTCGTATCGTCTCCGCCTCAGTAGGCACTCTTAATCGATATATGATATATGTATACATACACAAACCTAAAAAAAAGAAAGCAAGGCACATTTCTGTCCCAGCATGTCGGTATGTCCCATGGAGAACCTCATGAGGTTTCCCCGTCGTTCTAAGGTCCCAGCTCTTCAGTTCGTTGTCTTAAAACCAACTCTTGCCTTTGCTGTTCCTCCCAACACAGCACTCAGAGTGCTGAGAGACGTGACGGCGTTTGGCGAAACTGCCATGGACTCCTCGCCCCGCTTAGAGATGGATTATCACATAGTTGTGATTCAGCCGGAAAACACAAAAACGCAGGAGATACGTAAGTTGTGGCGTTGCTCCACAAGGGAGCTCTTGCAAAGACAGAACGTGCTCGATATTCGATATGCACTCCCATTTTTGTGTAAATGTACTTCCTGGTATCCAGACTTTGACTAAAATGCATGAAAACACTCTTTGCCTGGACGCGTTGCTGCTCCCTCTCTTCGGCCTCCCTTCTTTCCTGGCGGCTTTGCCAGCTTCAATGGCCATCCCGGAAATTGCAGCGGCGAAGTGCGACCGTAATGCTCGAAACATGCCATGTATCTCGTAGTTCATCAAGTTACAAAGCTGGACTTTTACACACAAGTCTGCTCAGTCTGCTCCTCCTCGGCTGCCTTCCAACCTGCTACAATCTCTTTGTGCTTGGTGTCAAAGTACCTCTTGATTCGTAAGTCCGCAGAGATTTCCAGCAAGCAACAATGTGCAACGCTCTGCAAAGCCATGCAAAGCTAGTAGTGCTAAGCCCAAAGCTTTGCAATTTTCTCCTCGGACAGGGGATTCGCTTTCTCGGCCTGTGCCAGCTTGAGGCCCAAAAGCCTTTTGGCAAAAAACACTATCCGTCTGGCTTGCCTGTCTGCCCCAAGCCACAAAGAGGTCGGTCAAGACCTCTTCCTTGGTTTCCTGCAATTGGTCGAACAAGCTTTCTTGGATCCGGGAAGGCAAACCTCTCTCACACTGCGTTTTTTCCTGTAACAATCAAAACAAAAATACTGTGAGGATGCTCTGAGATACTGAGATACATTGCCCAAAAGAACTCAAACTCTGAAGGTCCATACCCCGTCCGGCCCAGTCCTTGTTGGTATGTGGCTTGATTTGCACCTTGATGCTGTTGATGGTGCACTCATTGCCCTCAGCCACGATGGCCTCACACCAAATGCTTCACAAATCATTCGTGAAAAAATAGGCGATGCCCTTGCCAATGACCTCATTGTATTTCTCTCAAAATCTGTATTTCCCTCATACCCTTGCCAAATCTGTATTTCGCTCTTTCTCTGTGTTAAAACCCAACTTTTGTAATGGATACGATCGCAGCTACGCTCTCCATCCAATGACCTCATTGGTCAGCAGGTATTCAGCTGCTACAGACAAAGTCAATGAACTGATTGTTTGCACTACTTCATTGCAGTAGATGAGCTATTCGGAGGATTGTTGAATTGCATTGGGATGTGCTCGTTGCAATTCAATCATTGCCGCAATTGCCATTGTTGTGAGAAGCTCCAAATGTCTGTGTATATATATATAAGAGTAAGCAGCACCTTTTCTCTTATTCCCCAATAGCCATGCTATGGGGTCTTGCAAAACTAATAGGCGGACGGGCGCCGTCGGGTCACCGTCAGAGCTGGTGGGCGGATGGTGTCCCGGTCATGTTTTGATGGCGTCCGGGTCATGTGATGCTGGTGTCCCGGTCATGTTTTGATGGTGTCCCGATCATGTTTTGATTGTGACCCAGTCATGTTGTGATGGTGTCCCGGTCCTGTTTTGATGGTGTCCCGGTCATGTTTTGATGGTGTCCCGGTCATGTTGTGATGGTGTCCCGGTCATGTTTTGAAGGTGTCCCGGTCATGTTGTGATGGTGTCCCGGTCATGTTGTGATGGTGTCCCGGGCATGTTTTGATAGTGTCCCGGTCGTGTTGTGATGGTGTCCCGGCCATGTTTTGATGGTGTCCCGATCATGTGATGGTGGCGCGGTCATGTTGTGCTGGTGTCCGGATCATGTTTTGATTGTGTCCCAGTCATGTTGTGATGGTGTCCCGGT